TTAATCATACTCTCCAAAACTTTTCCAACTACTGATGTAAGACTAACTGGCCTATAGTTGCCTGGACAATGTTTATTACCTCCTTTAAACATTGGACTAACATTAGCCAATTTTCAATCTTCTAATACTCTTCCTCTACCAAATGACCTATAAAAGAAATATTAGCTAGCGGTTCACAAATAAAATCTTTAAATTCCTTTAAAACTCTGGGATAAAACGTTGTCTATGTAGTTTTGTGTTTAACTATAAACAAACAAACAAAAATATCATTAGATTAATAAATTTTACATTATTCTGTATAACTATATATATATACATATAGTATATATGTATACTTTTCCCCTTTTTATCGTATTATTTGTTTTTGTTTTGTGTTATTATCATATAACTTTTTGCATACTTTCTAAGTTTTTATGCCGTAACACAAATAGAAAGGTTATATTATTTATTGTGTTTTACTTTCTTTTTTATCACCCTGTTGTGATATTATTGTCGGTATGTATTGTTTAAGAGAAACCAGACAAACAAACACAACTAGGAAAACATACAAGTCTAATTTGTTGAAGAGTTGTGAACAATGTAAAATGCTCGTCATCAGTAACACACATGTTGTTCTGAGACTTACGTTTATTGTTGTTAATCTGCATTTAATTAGAATCATCATCAGAAATACATCAGTTTAATTTCACTGTTGAAGACTCCATACGTAAATAGAAGAATCAAGATTGAGGAACAAGCTGTCTTGAGTTCTATAACCCGTTACTGACTCTGAACATAAAGCCTTTGTTCTCCTGAAGAAGAATAGTCAACTATTCGAAAGCGCTCGAGTTTTGGGTCTTATTTTAAGTCTATTTCACTTTATATGTGGTCCTTTGTGCAAACTATTTTATCAAAATCAACGGGGCATATATTGTTTTTAGTTTAATTTTACTGTTGTTGTTTCTGTGTTTGGATTGAATTATCATCATGAATGTATGTGCTCTTTTTTATTATTAATGTTTACCATTGTGAGAGGGCCCGGCATGGCTAGGTGGTTAGGGCGCTCGACACGCAATCTGATGGTCGCGGGTTCGAATCCCCGTCACACCAAACATGCTCGCCCTTTCAGCCGTGGGAGCGTTATAAAGTGACGGTCAATCCCATATT